GGAGCTCGACCTAGGTCTCCCATGGGAGTGGCAGAGATCCAGAGACATGAGACATAACCGCTGCCTCCCATGGTCTACATTAGCAGGAAACTGAAATCAAGCCAGCATGGCCATCAAACTCAGGAACTCTGATATGGGAGGAAGGCATCTTGACTGCTAGGTCAAACACCCCCACCACAGCCGCCATGGTACAGTTTTGTTGCAGAGAATTTTGTTATTTCAAAGCTAGTTTCAGGGCCGGCACCGTGGCTCACTTGGTTAATCCTCCGCCTGCGGCGCCAGCATCCCATATGGGCGCCGGGTTCTAGTCCCGGTTGCTCCTCTTCCAGTTCAGCTCTCTGCTGTGGCCCAGGAGTGCAGTGGAGGATGGCCCAAGTGCTTGGGCCCTGCACCCCCATGGGAGACCAGGAGGAAGCACCTGGCTCCTGGCTTCCGATTGGTGCAGCGCACCGGCCGTAGCAGCCATTTGGGGGGTGAACCAACGGAAAAGGAAGACCTTTCTCTCTGTCTCTCACTGTCTAACTCTGCCTGTCAAATAAAAAATTAATAATAATTTTAAAAAATTTTTAAAAAGCTAGTTTCGGGGGTAGGCATTGTGGTACAGTGGATTAAGCTCCACTTGGGATACCCACATCCCATATCAGAGTGCCAGTTTGAGTCCCAGCTACTTGGCTTCCAGTTAACTTCTGCTAATGCTTCTAGGGAGGCAGCAGGTGATGACTCATGTAGTTGGGCCCCTGCCACACACATGGGAGACCCAGACTGAATTCTGGGCTCCCGGCTTCCACCTGGCCCAGTCCTGACTGTTGTGAGCGTTTGAGGAATGAATCAATGGGTGGAGTATCTCTCTCCTTCTCCCTCCCACCTCTTCTCTTGCTCTCCCTTTCAAGTAGATGAACATAAAATAAACAGAAACTAGTTGCCTGTGGTCACCTCTTCCTTGGAGCCATCCCTGATCTGCCACCTCAGCTGGCAGTTCTTGGTATGGATGTGACAGTGCCCCATGAACACATGGCTCCTGCTGACCTATGATGACCTCAGAAAAACTCAGACTGGACCCTCTTACTTCGCAGAACATCCAGCCCTGCACCTGGCACACAGTGAACTAAAGAACGAATCAGAGAGGGTGTGGTGGCAGAACCACGTCCCAGTGCCGCTGGGTGACCAGCAGCAGCCATACTTCCCTGTTTCTGCAGTAGCAGTGAGCAAATGCTTTCCTTTCCTTTTTTTTTTTTTTTTTAAGATTTTATTTGAGAGGTAGAGTTAGAGACAGAGAGAGGGAGAGACAGAACGGTCTTCCATCTGCTGGTTCACTCCCCAAATGGCCGCAACAGCCAGAGCAGGACCGATCCGAAGCCAGGAGCTGGGAGCTTCTTCCGGGTTTCCCACACCCGTGCAGGGGCCCGAGGACTTGGGCTCTCTTCTACTTTCCCAGGTCATAGCAGAGAGCTGGATTGGAAGAGGAGCAGCCAGGATGCTAACCAGCCCCCATATGGGATGCTGGCACTGCAGGCCAAGGCTTAGCCTTCTACACCACAGGAAATGCTTTTTCCAGGCTAAGGAGGAATGAGATGGCTAGCGAGGTGCCCTAGTTAGTTCTGGAACTGGGGGTGGAGAGAAAGGGGGTAAAGACCTTTGTGTTGAGGGAGTAGCCACAGAAACTGGGGGGGCAATGACGTCATGTTCCCCACTCTGGCTCCTGGTTCCAGCTTCCTGCTAATGCAACCTGTGGGAGGCCCAGAGCAGTTAAGCAGCCCCTCATGAGCTTCTCACCCTCTCTGGTCCCTCCCTAAGTAGCCATTCATTCTCCTCTATTCAACACGCAGCCCAGGAGAAAATCCACTTAATCTCCCCACAGAACAAAACCAAGCAAAACTTAATCTTTCATGTCCAAGGGAACAACACAGCCACCTGCCCCACCCACCCGTGTCCTGCTCAGGGAAACCCAGGAGCTATGAGAAAAGGGAATACAGATGAAACTATCCCGCGCCCCAGCCCCATGCCCGTCAGACTGGGCCAGGCTGGGCCCAGACCCCCTAAAAGTGCCCCTGCTGGTCAGCTGCACCGCTGCTGCCCAGCCCCGCCTGGCTCAGCGCTCCTGGATGGGAGCTGCTGTGAGCTGGCTCCCTGCTCTCCACCCAGAGACCTGGCCCCAGTACTCAAGGGGCAAGCTAGTTACAGTGTCTAGGCGCCTTTCCCTGACGTGCCAGGAAAGCAGACCTGGCAGGCGCTGGCCTCTCAGGAGTGCCAAGGCCTCTGCAGCCCCAGGCCTTCTGGGGTGACTCAGAAGGTCAGCGAGCCAGTCTGGTCCCAGGACTGGCTAAGGACACGCAGGGTCCTGTCCGCAGTGGCAGCCAGAAAAAAAGCCGTGTCTTCCGGGAGCACGGCACTGGCTGCAGTGAACATACGGGGCTTGTTTGTTACTACGTGAGAGTGGAAGCAGGGGCCAGGGCTGACCTTTCTCTGTGCGGCAGTCGTCCTGGGTAGGAAAGGTTCTGGATGCACCGTGATGTATGATGTAAACAAGCAAGACCAGCAAAAGGCTCATGACGCTGTTTTAAGTGTTTATGTAAACTGGGGCCTGCCTGCGTTTGGCACAGTGGTGAAGACACTGCTCAGGGGGACAGGCGAAGTAGTGCAGCGGGTTAAGCTGCTCCTTGCGATGCCCACAGCCCATATCGGAGTGCCTGGTTCACGTCCCACGTCTGCTTCAGATCCAGCTTCCTGCTACTGTGCCTGCATTTGATGGCCACTCTGGCTTCTGATTCCAGCCTTCCTGCTGATACACTCCGGGAGGCAGTGGTGGTGGCTCAAGTGATTGGGTCCCTGCTGCCCACGTGGGAGACCTGGATTGAGATCCTGGCTCCCAGCTTCAGCCTGGCCCAGTCCTGGCTGTTGCAGGCTCTTGGGCCCACTTTTATCTCTCTGTAAGTCATTACTTTGTTGGCAAAAAAGAATCAAGGCAAACTGGCCGCTGCCAGTGACAGTGGCCGCCTGCATCCTGTGAGACACTCCAGAGAGTGAATGAATTTATAACTGGTTGGTCAGAAGCTCTGGCATGCAAAGCAGGGGCAGTTTCGGGTACGGAACCCTCAGCCGGTGGGACCTGATACTCTGTCCAAGCAGACAGTGTCAGAACAGGATTGAGTTAACAGACAGCGGGTGTCCACACATTTTGGTGTCAGGGACACAGTAGTCTGTGTTCTATGAGAAAAAGGTGCGGGTGGGGAGGGAGAAGCACTTTGGATTTTTTCCCCTCTATTCCTCAATAACAAAAATCACCACATTACACTTTAAAGTGTAATTTTATGGTGTGTTCATTATATCTCAATAAAGGTGTGATTTTTAAAATGTTTTTATTTTACTCTATTTGGAAGACAAAGAGACAGAGATCTCCCATCTCTGGTTCACTCTCCAAATGCCTTCAAAGCCAGGACTATACCAGGCTGAGGCTGGGAACCCAGAACTCAATCTGGGTCTCTCACAGGGGTGGCAGGGACCCAAGGACTTGAATTATTACCTTCCAGGTTACACATTAGCAAGAAGCTGCAATGGAGAATGGAGCCTGGACTCAGACTCCAGCATAAGATGTAGGCATCCCAAGCAGCCATCTACCTGCTGTGCCAAAACCCCAACCCGGAGAAAAACAGTAAATGAGGAGGAGAGAGTGGAAAAAGCCTGTGTATGTGGTGAGCTGGCGCCCTGCAAAGCCAAGGAGCTTCCCTCTTGTCTCCAGGTTGCCTTACCTGGCCCTTCCTCCCTCCCCTCACCCAGTGCCCGGGCCCCTGCATCTGCAGATGTCCTGAAGAAACTGAGCCACAAACTCCTTTCGCTGCTCTTCCCTTTGCCTATGGGCTGCAGGGATCCACAACCAGCACCCCTCTACGCACCATTGCTCAAAAGAGCCAGCAGCCCTGGACCTTACAGCCCAGCTGGACTTTCTTCCCCTGGACAGAGAGCAGCCTCAGGCCTCTGACCAGCACACAGGGCCTGGCACAAAGGGAGAATGCGAGTCTGTGAGTTGCAACAATATGCTCATTTTACAGATGTGAAGAAACTGAGAAGGGCAGGGGTCCACTCAGGGTCCCACAGGTTTAGGATTCCCTCTGCTCTCTCTCGCCTGAGCGCAAGATGACACCTTGCCAGTTGGAGGCAGAGGTGACTGAGCCAGCAGAACCAGACTTTCTGGAAAACTCTGCCAAATAGGTATCCAGAGCTCTGGAAGGGTTGCCACCCTCTGACCCAGTACCTTCGCAGGAGGACGAAGATTTAGCAAACACCATGTTAACTGCAGGGTAGTATACAATGGTGGCAAGCTGGAAACGGTCCAAATTCCCACCACAAAGGGTGCTTAAATGCATTCAGGGGTGGGCGTTTGGCACGACCCAAGTGTAGAAGGCCACTTGGTATGTCCACATCCCTAAGAGAGTGCCTGGGTTTCTTTACCAACCCTCCTTCCAGTTCCACTTCCTGCCGATCTGCATCCTGGGAGGCAACAGGTAATTTGCTTTTAGGCTCCTAGTTTGGGCCTGACCCAGCCCCAGCTGTTCTGGGCATTTGAGGAATGAACAGCAGATGAAGATCTCTCTCTGCCTGGTTCGGTTCTGTCTCAGCCTTGCCTGACCACTTAGGGAGCAGATCCCCACATCAGCTCTGCAGCCCCTGTCCAGCCTCTGGCCCATGACCCTGTGTCATGTTCCTTTTTTTTTTTTTTTTTTTTTATTTACTTGAAAGGCAGAGAGACAAAGCACCCATCTGCTGGTTTACTTCTCAAACACTTAGAACAGCCAGGACTGCACCAGGCTGAAGTCCAGGAACCAGAAACTCCACCCAGGTCTCCCTGCTGGGTGGCAGGGACCCAAGTACTTGAGCCATCACCTGCTGCCTCCCAGGGTGTGCATTAGCAGGAAGCTGGAATCGGAAGTGGAGCTGGAACAGTAAGCCAGGCACTCCGATGTAGGATGAGGGCATCTCCACTGGCATCTTAATCCCTGTGCCAAATGCTGACTCTATTTTATGTTTTTTACAACAGTAATAAATCAATATTTATCAGATGGATAAGCCCACGGGAACGGGCCTGGGAAACCCTTTTCACCAAGATGGCGCCGAAGGCGAAGAAGGAAGCTCCTGCCCCTCCTAAAATCGAAGCCAAAGCGAAGGCCTTGAAGGCCAAGAAGGCAGTGCTGAAAGGCGTCCACAGCCACAAGAAGAAGAAGATCCGCACGTCCCCCACCTTCCGGCGGCCCAAGACGCTACGCCTCCGACGGCAGCCCAAATACCCTCGGAAGAGCGCCCCCCGGAGAAACAAGCTTGACCACTATGCCATCATCAAGTTCCCCCTGACCACGGAGTCAGCCATGAAGAAGATAGAAGACAACAACACACTGGTGTTCATTGTGGATGTCAAGGCCAACAAGCACCAGATCAAACAAGCTGTGAAGAAACTCTATGACATTGATGTGGCCAAAGTCAACACCCTGATCAGCCCTGACGGAGAGAAGAAGGCGTGTGTGCGGCTGGCTCCGGACTAGGATGCTCTGGACGTTGCCAACAAAATTGGGATCATCTGAACGGAGTCCAGCTGGCTCATTCTAAATAGATGTTTTTTCACCATAAAAAAAAAAATATTTATCAGATGAATGTGTGATTTTAACAGGGGTCTGCTTTGGCTGGAATTACATGTAACTTTAATTTACAATTTTTCTATCTCCAGATGTTAACAATGCTGTGTTTTACCTTATAATCATATATTTAAAGTATTTGTGTAAAAAAAAAAAAAAAAAAAAGAACAGGGGCCCATGTTGTGGTGCAGGGGGTTAAGCTGCCACCTGCATTGCCGACATCCCATATTGGAGTGTTGGTTTGAGTCTGGGCTCGGCCTCTTGTGATCCGGCTCCCTGCTAACATGCCTGGGAACACAGCAGAGGATGGCCCAAGTGCTAAGGACCTTGCTACCTATGTGGGAGACCCAGGTAGAGTTTCTTGCTACTGGCTTTGACCTGGCCCAGCTCTGACCAGTGCAGCATTCACAGAAGTGAACCAGCACATGGAAGATTCTCTCTCTCTCTCTCTCTCTCTCTCTCTCTCCATTTCAAATAAATATCTTTTCTAAAAAGAAAACAAAAAAAAATATTGCCTACAAGAGAAGTCACCGTTTCTATGAGTGCAGTTGAACCACCTTCCTGGGGGAGGCTTTCTCAAAAGAGGCATTTCCCCAGAATTGCGAGGGAGGAAAGCTGGATTTATCAAAACTCAGCCCATCAAACCTGGAGTCAGCGTTTGGCCTAGCGATTAAGCCAGGAGGACCTGGGATCTGGTCCTGCCTCTAGCCCCAGATTCAAGCTTCCTGCTAATGTAAATCCTGGGAAACAGCAGCTCACATAGTTGTACCCCTGCCACCTAATTGGGAGACCTGGGTTGAGTTCCCAGCGCCCACCTGGAGTGAACCAGCAGATGGGAACTTTCCAGCTCTCCCAAATTAAATAAAAAGAAGCAAGCCATTCATATTATTTTAAAAAATAATTCTGTCCAATGGCGGCCCTCTAGGAAGCACTGGCGGGTACAGGGTGGGGCACTTGCCGCCCTGGGATTCTTTCCAAACCCCTCCAGGCTAGGCCCCGGATATGAGTCAAAGAAAGTGTCCCAAGGACCCAGACTGGATGGATGCTAGCTCCACTGCAAGCCCTGTGCTGCCCCAGGAGCACAGCGGGGCCAGCCCTGCCAAAGCGATGCCCAACAGTGTCACTCAGGAGGACAGCTGCTCTGGGCCGTTCACGCCTCATTGGTGCCTGCTGTGTGGACAGACGTGCCGGAGCACATCAGGGCAGCTCTGCACGAGGACAGCAGGGCAGGGGCAGGAGCGCCCACTGCCTGGGGCTTTGCTCCTAACCCACAAACATCCAGGGCAGCAGCCGGCTTATGAAACCCAGGCGCAGCTTTACATAATCACGGGAAATGAAGAGGAAGAGAGGACTCACAGAAAGGCACGCCCCCAACCTCAACATCTTGTTTGCGAGATGAAATTTTCTTTCTGCTGATTATGAAAGTCAACCTTGCAAAGTGACTTGCCATTTGTTTCCAACAGAAGAGGAAGGGGATAAAGCAGAAACGGAAGCCCCTCTCAGTCCCACCTTCCCAACTCCCCCAAGGCTTGGGGCCTGTCCTTGAAGACTTTCCTGTGGCCCAGGTACACACACACACACACACACACACACACACACACGAGCCCAAGTGCACACGTGTGCACACACAGGCTTCCATTTAACAGGAACAGGTGCACCCTCTACCTGCAGGTTCATGCACAGCACTCAGTTAACAGCATCCCACAATGCCTCTGCACCACGAGCTGGGCTTCACTCACTCACTCAGCCCAGTGGGGCACCCCACAAAGCTCACAGCCCAGGGCTGTCCAGCTCCAGAAATCAAAGCCCTAACAGCCCAGGGCTGTCCAGCTCCAGAAATCAAAGCCCTAACAGCCCAGGGCTGTCCAGTTCCAGAAATCAAAGCCCTAACAGTGTCCCCAGTGTTTTCCTTAGCCAAGTTCTCAGAATCCCAGTCACCCAAGGACCTCCTTAGCAATGCAGAATCCTAGACTCCACCCCAGAGCCTCGGATTCACAAAGCCAGACATAGTGCCCGGGTATCTGCATGTGTAGTGATTGCTCCTGGCAACCTTTCACAGCCTGGCCAGCCAGAGGACGCTCATGGCTGGATTTTGGGGCCACTCAGGAGCTGTGCTTCCTCTTGGGTCCTTCCAATTTCTGCCCCCACAGCAACACACCTTGGAGAGGTGTCAGGAGGCTTGCTCAGGCCACACAGAGGCCACACAGTGACATGGATGGGCTGTAGGGAGGCTTCCCGCAGCATCGGCTCCCAGGCACAGAGTTCGCAGCGTGGGGCCTTTGTATTGCAGGACCCAGCCCACTGCCCCTGCCCCGGGCCCACAGCAGGAAGAGCCAGACGTTGGCTCTGCCCTGAGCTTCAGCCAAGGGGAAGAGCCAAGAAGGTACCTTGATGAAGTCACCAGCACCGTCCAGCCTGCTGCAGCACAAGGGAGCCGTGTATGTGTGTGCAGGGGTGAGCATGATTGTGAGTGAGTGGGTGTGAGAGAGCTAGGGTGCATGAGGGAGAGCTGTGTGAGTGTGGGTATGTGACAGTGCATGAGCGGAGTGTGACTGTGAGGTGTGTGTGTGCACATGTGTGCCAGACACTCCTGAGACCGGGGCATCCTCACGCATGGTCGGGGTGGGAAGTGCCCATTGCAGGGCCCTCGGCCAGTCCCAGTTGCCGAACAGTCCCAGCATTTCCTGCCAAGTGCAGCTCCAAATTCTGCCACTGCCTGCTCTCCCTTAGGCAGCCTGAGCAGCCCAGTCCCATAGCCCCAGGGACCAAAAGCCATCCCCTTAACTGCCCCAATAACAATAACGGCTGTGTGCCGTCCTCTCCACACCACTGTTTCCCTCTGAGCCCCTCTTGGTGATCCTGGGGGTCCCTGGAGAGCCAGCTAGTTGGGAGAGAGGCCTCTCCTGTGGGGATTCCACTGTCCAGGCTCCCCTGAGAGTGCCCTGTGCTCCAGCTGCTGCCTGGGTCCTGGGAGATGGCTCAGACTCCAGAGCATGGCTGCGCTCAGAAAGGTCCCTGTGATTTTTGCTGTCACCTGATGTGGGCAGCAGGACGTCTGTGCCACTTCCTACCTGCCAACAGAGCACCTTTGTGTGTCAACTCCTGGAAAAGCTGGTGCAGAGTGCGCAGCCAGGGTGGCCAGATTCCCTCCCCTGGGGCTCCTTGATGCTCTTTCTCTCTCTCCTTGGGTCAGCTCTGGCACCTGTCGGCCATGTGACTTCAGGCTCATCCCTTAATATTCATGCTTTCATTGCATAGGCATTTATTGAGCACCTACTGTGTATGTGACACAGCCACAGTCCCTAGTGGTAGAACCAGGGATGAGAGCAGGCATCCTGGCTCTCCTGCTGCTGACGTGAGAAAACGGAGGTAGGAGGAGAGCCCTGCAGAGGCTGAGCCAGGTGCTATGGCAGGAAGGAGGGGCTGCTGTAGGCACGAGGGGGGCTTTGCTGGTTCAGCGAACAGCAGGTGCAAAAACTCTAGGCAGGAGTTTCTGAAGGAAAGGAAGAAGGGCAGTGTGGCTGGAGTGGGTGAGAGGGGGGGCATGTGGACACAGTACCGGAGGGAGGTGGGGGGGGGGCCTGAGTTTCATCCTAAGGGTGGAAGGAGTTAAGCTGGGGGGCAACAGTTCTTGGCGGAGGCTGGAAGAGATCGGGGGTGAGGGGAGCAGGGGTGGGAGAGACCAGCTGGAAGCTGGGCAGGATCCAGGTCTCTCCCCCAAACATTGTTACCTAGGCAATGTGTGTATCTGAATAAAGACCCTTGGCCTGGGGACAGGGGAACCACCTCCAACCAGCTCAGGATTCTGTTGCCATAGCTGACCTTGGGGATGATCCGCACACAGCTCCTAAAGCATGGCTGAAGCCCAGGATGAACTGAGCCCCACACATGGGGAGCCCCAGGATGAGAAGTCTGTGGCTTTTACTAGTGAGCAGAGCAGCCTAAGGGCAGAGGTGGCACCTGCCAGGCCTCTAGGATGGCACACTCTGGGACCACTTCACTCCAGTTGCTGATGTCACAGGGCCAGCCTCTGTGGACTGGACCAGCAGGGCCACGAGTTATGGGATGCCTGAAACATTTGGCTCTGGGTGGACATCTGGAAGCCAGATGTACCCAGGAGCTCCGGGAGGAGGGACGGGGGCTCCCTAGAATCAAGTCCATTGTCTATGGCCTGGAGCACTGAGCAAAGGATGACAGTGGACAACGCCCAGCCTGGCCACTAATGCTTCCTTCGCTCTCTCCCGGGTTCAGCCCCTCTGCTCAGCACTGGCTTTTATCTCTTCTCTCTGAATCAGGCATCATAAATGGGCTGGAGCTGGAGCAAGTGATAGGTGGATACAGGAGACAGGGTCTGTGACTGTTAGGTTCTGTCTGGAGAGGTGCCCATCTGTTCTTATGAATGTCCCTTCCCTAATAAACCTTGCTATTTTACTTTTCCACTACTCTCTGTCTCACGCCTGAATTCTTTCTTGCGCGAAGACAAGAACCTTGCCATTCACCGGTAACATGACCACGGGCCTCTTCCTGCCCCACCCTGGGAGCCCCATCCCTCTGGGGACTGTGGGGTCTGGGAACAGTAAAGGTGCTCCTATCTTTTAGAGCCCTGAAAGCAAACCCAGTGCTCTCTTCTAAGAGCCAGCAGAGTTTCTAGGCCCTAACAGTTTGTGAAGGCAGTTTCCCAGGTACCCTCGGCTGCTATTGCATTCTCGCCTCCTGCACAGCCCCCTGGAGCCCTGGGCTCCATCTGGGGCTCAGCCTGGCACCCGCAACCCTGTGATTTTTAAAAATTTATTATTTACTTATTTGAGAGACAGAGAGAGAGACTCTTATTCACTGGCTCACTCCCCCCAAATTCCCTCAAAGGTTCCCAGGGCAGAGGCCAGGAACTGGACGTTAGTCCAGGCCTCCCAAGCAGTCACCTGAGGCGTCACTGCATTATCAGCGACTTCCAGGTCTGCATTATCAGGAGCTAAGGGAGCTAGAGTCAAGGGCCTGAGCCAAAGCATTTCAAGGGCTGGGACGAACTCCACCCACCGCGTTCCCGGTTGACCTTGCCAAGTGTCAACGTGCTCATCTGCAAAACGGGAGGACCAATGAAGGCCCCTGTCTCAGTCCCACCCAGGATCGCGCAGAGGCAGCAGACAGAGACGCCCGCAAACCCTGAGCCAAGCCCAGACCCTGGAGCTGTTACCCCTCGGCGTGGTGACTGCCCGGGACCGGGCGGGGCGGGGCCGCGGCGCTCGCGGCCTGGGGTGATCGAGAGCTCCGCCCCGTGGGCGGGCCCCGGGAGTCTTAACGCGCGCCGGCGCTGCCCGGAGCCTCGGCCGCAGCCAGTCTCTACGGGAGCCGCTTCCCGTGCAACTGTGCGCCGTCGCGTCTTCGCCCCGCCGGCCGCGCCATGGAAGGCTACCACAAACCCGACCAGCAGAAGCTGCAGGCCCTGAAGGACACGGCCAACCGGCTGCGCATCAGCTCCATCCAGGCCACCACCGCGGCGGGCTCGGGGTGAGCACTGGGGCGCGGCTGGCTGCGTGCCGCGCCGCACGGGCTACCACGCTAGTGGCGGCGGGCGCGCGGCCAGAGCGGAGGCGCGCACCTCGCGAGGGCCCCGGGCCTTCCGCCGCGCCGTGCGCGCGCGCGCGCGCTCGCCCCGGCTTCCCAGGCGTGGCAGCCTTGGCTTTGGCGCCCTGTGCGCGTCGGGCCGGTCCTGCTGCCCCGCCAGGCCGGCCTCCGGGGAAGCCACCGGCACGGCTGTGCCCGAGAGCCGGGCGCTGGGCCGTGCGTGTTGCACAAGCTTGTGCGGGCTCCAGGTGGGCGACAGGTCTGGGTTGGAAGCTACGGTCGGTCCTGTGCGAGACTCCGGGGCCCAGCTCTCTCTGCCCCTCAAACTCTTCCCCCGCCCCCTCAAGCCCCCTGGTCACTGCTTCAGCTTCTTGCCACCCTCGGATTGGGGTTTGAGTGGGAGCAGGGGCTGCTGCGACGCAGCAGGGTTGCGAGGTAGGGATGAGGGGCGGGAAATGATGGCCGGCTGCACGTGGAGGCGGAAACCCCGGCACTCAGCATGAGGGCGAGGCCCCAAGATCAAAGCCTGGCGGGCAACTTAAGGGCCTCCAGGGATGGGGGAGGGGAGGGTCTTAGCACCCCTCCCCCCAGAGTTTCTGTCTCTTAAATGGCTAGAGGCAGGCATAGTGATAGGAACGAGGACCCCTGGTACAGCCCAGGGTGCCCCCTGGCGTGGTGGAGAGGATCAGCCATGAGCGGCTTCAGAGCTCCAAAATGCAGACAGTGGTGCCTGCCACACTGGTGATTCAGTGCCCCGCGTGGGGCCTGCGGGACGCCAGGGTAGCAGCAGTGTGCCAGGCTCCTGAATGAGGTGGGAGGATGGGCTTCCCTATCAGGCTGTGTTTAGAACAAAGACATGATTCCCGCTTCTGGCCAGCACCTCATGGGGCATAACATTGAGAAGTGGACGAGCACCCAGCTTCTGTGCCTTTAAGACGTACTCCTAAAGGGTGCTGGACAGCCCTGGGAAGCCGTTTTCCCCCATCCCACTTCCACGCACACTTTGAACCCTTTATCTCCCCTGGGTTTATATCAGTCCTGTCCGCCGTGTGGGATATCGCCCGCCTACTCCCAGCACCCCGTCCCGCAGCCTGGCACCCAGTGGGTCTGCTTCCCTGGGCCAGGTCGGGGGATCTGAGGTCTAGCTGGACAGAGGCGGCAGTTACCCAGCTAGCTAGTTTTGCACCTTACAAGGCTCAAAAGGACGGGCGGATATTTTCTGGGTCACCGAGTAGCCACATAAGTGTCGCTAGTGTGACACAGCGTCTTCCTTTGTTGCCTTTGGAAGAGGGCCTGTGATGGACTGCATTATACTCATGCCTTGGGGGTGAGAGCGAGGCTAGTGTGCTCCAGGACTCGCCCAAAGGGCTGGAGTTAGCAGGAAGGCTTCCCTGGCTGGTGAGCCGACAGGAGAGCAGGGGTGCACCCATGGAGGCTGCTAGCTTGAAAGGCACTTGGAGAAAGTTTAGGGGGCTGTCAAAGGAGGAGAGGGGTTTGGGGGGCCTCCTAGGTCTTTGTTAAGTGTTTCTTCCCAGAGAAGATAACTATGTGGCATGCCACTTGAGAGTGAAACCCATGGCTACGTTGTAACACCTTAGGGAGGAGCTCCTTGAATTCAAAGTATCCATTTGCAGAAAGAAAAAAAGGGTGGTAGGTAAAATCAGTGTTCCCTCTGTGTGTGTGTATGTGTGTATAGAAGGTGCAAGACAGATTATTAGAGAAAATTTAATTTGAGAAGGAAGTGGCACTGAGTCTTTGCAACCTCTGTCACAAGAGAGATTTTGAAATCAGAAGCCTGAGTCTGTGTGCAAACAGCCATTGAGGAGGGCTTGAGAGATGGGCTGCGAGAGGTCAGCGAGTCTGAAGTCTGTCCCGAGGCCCTGGCCCAGTCTGGGCTGTAGTGACTGTGCTGTCAGGGTGTCCCCTTCTCTGTGGGAGTTAGAGTGTCCGTGGTTTAACAGATTTGGTGCCCTGTGTGTTGGTCACACACTGAAGCCGGCTCAGACCCTGTTCCTGGGAGAATGTTGATTTCAGGGGTAGGGGAAGCTATCACATTTCTGTGCTGTCGGCCACCCTGGGTGCCATGGGCCTCGCCAGGCCCCAGGAGGTATGGACACTGGCTTCTGTGTCAGGAGCTGGGCCTGGAGGTGGAGGGACAGAGTCTTCACAGAGGGCTCTTTGTCAAGACCACGCCCACAGTGGCCACAGCTTCTCCCGGGTCACCTCCCTCCACGTGCTGAGCAAACTGTAGCAAGAGCCCAGCTCTTCCAGGCTTTCAAAAGTGAAACCTCAGCAACTGAACTGGCCTTGGCTATCCGGGCTGGTGACAAAGATTTCTCGGTTCTCACTTAGGCAGGCCAGGCTGGAGTTACCCAGGTGGGGCCAGGCACTGTGCAAGGGGCCAGGACCTTGGCTGCCCCCAGCTTTGGGGAGGGTGCTTGGCAGGATAACGTCTGATCAGACCTGGCTGGAGAAGGTCCCAGGAAGGCCCTGCCTGTCCCAGGGCCTCAGTTTCCCCATCTTGAAAGGGGAGGTTCGTGGGCAGGTGACTTCTAAACCAAGTCCTGCAGGAGTGGGGCTGGGGGAGCAGAGTGAGCAGGCTCTGGGCTCCACCCCCTGCTGCCCTGCTTGGCATTTGCTGATGTTTGGGGTGAGTGCTCTGGTCTGCTGTAGGCCTCCTCCTGGGGCCTGCTTCTCCTCCAGGGTTGCCTCAGGAGCTCCTGCCCAGCCTGGCCCTGGCTCCGGCAAGAGCAAGTCTGTTGAGGTTGGCCCAGTAGCAGCAGCACCAACTGTGTTGCTCAACCCAGTGTGAAAGCAGTTGACTCAGTTCTCTGCCGAGTGACCTCTGAACTGAACCTGGCCAATGCCAGTGTTTCCAGGTGCAGCCCTGTGGTTAGGGTCTGGCCGAGACACTGTCTGACTGTGGCCCCTGTTGCAGCTCTGACCCCTGGACTTTGCTGATTTAGGCAGG